TCCTCTGGCCTTCACAAAGTATTTTCTCCCAAAAAAAACGCTGCTCACTGGATATTTCCTCTTTATCAGACCATTCTCTGTAAACCCTGGAGACCCTAAAGTGTGGGAAAATTCAAGTAAATCAGCCATTTATGAAATATTCAGACCAGCTCGACTGACACCAACAACCACACCACATTTAAAGTCACTTAAATCTCCTTTGGCCGATTGGATGATTAGATATGAGTTGAACAGCAGATATGGTGCAAAATGTAGTTTGATTGGTTTTGGTCATATACAATCACAAGGAAAGCATTTGTAAATGCTTTTCAACAGAAATGTTTGATACTACAGATCATTTTACCTCAATTGCAAGAAATGGAAAGGTCACTGACTGTTTGACTGAAAGATTAATGTTAAAAGTTCAAATGTGTTAGTAGACACAGAGGATCGTCAATGTCTACAAAGTAACTGACATCATGACATGCTTTTCCTTTAAAATGCCCCACCTCTTTATGGGAACTGTAAAGAACCGCAGTAACATTCTCACCACTCCGTCTCCCACATGGAAAATATACAATTTATAAATATGTCACATTGTGCACATTCACCTTCAACTGCTTCTATTAACACATTTTCATAACCAGCATACTGATGAATTCCAAAACAAAGGCCACAGCATGAAAACACTTTTACATTCACTGTCAGATGGAGTCGTTGAACTTTGTGAAATGAAACTTTAATGAAGAATAAAGCAAAATAATAAAGAAAGGCATACAATCTTTTTAGATACACTGTAGCCGCATAACAATAACACAGTGAAGACAAATGATCACATGATTTGATACATGTTATACGTAGCTAGATCCAAAAGCCTGAGAACACATTTAACGTGCGCAAAACTTTCATCTGAACCTGAAAATAATCTCAGAGTCTGAGGAATCAAAAATATTTGAAATTGTTTTTAACAATCGCTCTCAGAGATTAGAGGCAGGAAAACAAGGGCCTTTGTAAGGTGAGGGAGAGATACCACAGTGGATCAGACAGTGAGAGTTTAAGTCTGGTGGTGTTTCCAGACCCAGAGCTGAACACCTGATGTGAGTCAACTGCACCCTGACTGAGGGCAAGCAGTGATCCATTCTTCAGAGATGTGCTCCAACAGTGATGTAGATCTTTGTGGAGAAGAATTCACACTGCAGCAGGATATTGAAGCCAAACACACCTCAAAGCTTTGGAGAGCTGCTTAAAGAAAGCCTAAGAGTGCTGAACATAAACTTTGCTCATCAAATGAGGCTCTTTGAGACACAGTCACATCAACCTGGGTCAACATGGCTTAA